ATACCTACCCTACCAACTTTACAGGCAGTTACAGCAACCACTTACCAGAAAATTCCTGTTTACAGGGGCAATTACCATGCATAGTCCCGAGCTGTTACGGTATTTAAAGAACAGAAGCAATAAAATACTGTCAAACAAGGTTATCCTCTCTGAGGGTGAGTTTCTTCTCTAAACTCAAAAGATTATTGAATTCTCTCAACAAAGAGCTTATTCTACTCACAGTCTACAATATCCAACGTTTGGTTCAATAACTTTTTGAACCCAAAACACTAACACCCAAAAGTTTAAGCCTAAGTTGTTAGCACGAAATATTCGAGTTCTCATATAAAATTCAACAATCACATATCTTTCCCACATGATATTAAAATATCACAATTTTCATTACTTAAATCATTTCTATTCTTGTCAATGTTACACATCACAATCACAAATCTCCAACCAAAAGACCTACAAGATCTAAAGTCATACCAACATGCGATCACTAGACTAACACATGTTTTAATACTATTTACAATATCATGCACCCAATCAACATTCTTCCAAAAACTTCCCAAATAGAAAACAAACTATTTGCTAAAAAGAACTCAATCTCAAATTATTAGAAGTGACTAGCTAGTTCCGATGCAAACTTGAATATCACACAATCATATACCATAAGAGATCAAACGAATCTAGATCTCAAATTCAGGACCATAACAATGCATTATTATTAAGCAAAATAAAAAACCCCAGATTTGAGAAAATAGTAAAAATATTTTTTAAAAATTATTTTTAAACTCATGATACAATTTACTTTCTTTTCTAGATTAATCTTTCTTACTACAAATATTTTGAAGTATAGTCACATCTGAGTATAGAAAACCAAACATAGAAAATATTATTATACACCAAGTGGGCCCCTATTCTTGTATTGAGATTCATTGCACAAAAGCACATTTCTCTTCTGGTGTTTGTAACATGCATAACATGAAAAAATATCAAGAAAATAAATAACATACCAAGAGATGTGCCAACTAAGATTGCTGTGGGTGTGGCAAGGCCAAGTGCACATGGGCAGGAAACTACCTGGGAAACACAAAAAAAAAATCAGTTTTGCAAATTCTAACTCAAAAAATAAACATGTGAACTCAAGTCCCCACTCAATTTTTAAATGGATGATGCTAATTTTTACAAGGCATCACATGAACCTCCTTCATTGGATCATCTAATCCCAAAATCAGAGGCTCCTATGATCGATAAGTGCAATTCCCACATGATACATCTTCTCAAAAGGAAAAAGAAATTCTCAACCTAGTGATAATGTCACTCCATTTTAAGCAATATGCTGATACAGAAATGAGCACTCTCAACCTAATGATGACATGACACCACTTTAATCATTTATGCCGATATAGATCATATATGGATAATCCGCTATAACTTGCATCTCCTATTTGTTAACAGGCCAAATTTTATTTCTTTTTTTAAAATATAACTGGCCAAACTTTATAATCAATTCAATTCAGTAATTCTACCCAAAATGGCATGTAATTCAACACCAGTTACCAAGACATCGACAGAGAGTTTCAAGCTTAGAAGCAGAGGGTCTCCATCTGGCCCAGCAATATCATTGAGCAGAACATCTGGAAAAATATGTGATCCAACGAAATACCTGAACAAAAAAGCAATAAATCTAAGAAGCAAAAGAACGACTAAAAAATTAACAAATATCTTAATCCAAAACCATTTGCTTGCTTGTAACAAGGTATGACATTCAATAAAAAAACAGGAGAAGAGAAAGTCAATGAAAAAAAGATAAGCAGGTGCAGAAAACCACAATAATTAGCATTTGTGATCTGCATCAAATGCAAACACACCTATTATTGAAACACACTAAACTGCCACAATAAGTTGGTGATATGGTGAAGGAAGGGCAGATGTCAATAGCAGTGGAATTATCTGCCTAGCTATCTATTGGATTCTTCTATTACAAAATGATCATTATCACTTGATTTATATCCTAGCTCCCAAATATTTCACTCGGCAGAAAAACAAGGTCACAAATTAGTATGTAAAAAGAAAAAAGACAATACCAAATGAGAAGCAAGTCCATACCAAAAGGCAAATGTTGCTGCTGATACAGTTATCACAGTGTATACAAATGGTCCAGCTATTCCATCTGCAAGCCTTTGTACAGGTGCTTCATGAGCTTGAGCATCCTCAACCTGAACATTGCAGCATAATGCTTTAATATACAAGAGAAAATTTTCAACATCTCATTTCCATGCTCATTTTATAAAGATTATTTATTTGCCAAGTTGATAATTCCTCTACTAGCTAACTTAAAAACATTAAAAGAATGACGATTGAGGATTAAAGGTGTCACAAAACCTTCTACCAGGGGAAAACATTATTATCTTCAATGGTCTCTGCTTCCATATTTTGAAGCTTCTCCCATCTTTCCTTGGCATAATAATAAGTTTTCCACTGCCCCATTCCAGCCCTTCCCCATGAAACCAGAGAAATCTACAAATAATATCTATTTTCTCAATCAAACAACAATATAATTTGCCCTAGAATTTCTGGTGCCAGAAGGCTTTTTTTTCCAGCACTAGTACCCAGATATTCCGGTATTTGTTAAGGTAATTTAAAAATATAAGTCTTTTAGGAAATACCATATCAAATGCCATGTCTCTTGTGGCACCTTCCAAGTGTCATAAACATTACTTTGGAAGGTATACCATATCAAATGGCATGGTTTCTTCAAGAATACTAGCAATATTTTCGGTAGTGTTATGAGAAATTTACTGGTCCAAAATAGTAGAGAATAACTTCTCAAAGATACTAAATACTTTTGAACTCCAAGAGATTGTTGCTTTCTATCTTAATAAGCCCATTCAATTATTCAATAACTGAAATAAAGGAAGAAGACCCAGGAAGTACTCATTTCTGATTCCAATGATGGGTGGCTTTAGTTCTTTGCAACAACAGTTTGTGTCATTAATGCAATTACCAAAATTACTGCACTTACAGGTGATGGTTATGTCTTCTTAGCTTCTGATTCTCTGTCATCAGACACATAAATGATCCCAAAGTAGAAACTTTAACAAGTATATTCAAATTTGTTATGGTACCCCACAAGGAACTTTCTGTATTTTTCAAGGCATTACAATTACTAACAGCAATTTAAAGGTAATGTGTTTTTTAAGGTATCGTCCAAAATGTTACTAGTACTTTTTTAACGTATTTTAAATTTTTTTGATGGCATCACATTTGTTAGAGGAAGAGTGAATTAGATTAAAGAGAATAAAAATATAGGGATTTAACCAAGCACGAAGATGATGACACCAGATTTCTGGTTATTAAAATCGCTCCCAGAGCGTCTTTTTTTTGCTTGGGAGGCCAGTAGGCAGTGCATTCTGACCATTGATAAGTTCATGAGAGGGGTTAAGATTATGGTGAATGGATGTTATTTCTGTAAAAAGACTGTGTAGACTTGCAACCATTTACTTATATGGTGCCTGGAGCTGTACAAGCTATAGACTATGGTCTGTGGTTTATTAGGTGTGAAGCGGGTGATGTCGGGATTGGTTTGAGATGAGTTATGCACTTGGGAATAGTATTAGCTGGTGGAGGAAACACACTGAAATTATTCTGATCACAATTTTTTTGAGCAATTTGAAATGAGAGAAATGCAAGAGCTTTTGAAGGAATAAATGATGATAATGG